GTGTACATGAGATACCACACAAGGCCAATCATGGAGAACACTGACATCTTGTCACTCAGGGCTTCTTCCCAGTGCTTCCATATTGACACAGATTATGGGGTCAGCTCACACCCACTTTTCCTTAGAGCCTTTCTCCCCCATGGCCACGTTTGGTGATGGCACTTCCATATGGTCTTTGCCTGATGTAGTTGTTGTCTCTAATTTGAAGGCTTCTTCTCCTCATTTGCTGCCTCTGACTGCACCCTCGGTGGGTTCTGGAGCAATAATCCCTACTTCCTGCCAGGAGGAATAAGTGGGAAATATTAGCTAACCTTTAAACTCGGTAAAAATGGGAGCTTTTGCCAGAAGTTGCTTGTCAAATGGAGAGGTGTGGTCTAGCAAAAGCCTCGTGGCCCTGCTGGGTGCCAGTGGGCCTGGGGCGTCAGTCCTCAGAAGATCATAGTTTACTATCCATCCACAATCTGTTGTTCAGTAAATGTTTGATGTTGAGATGGTGGATGTCCTGTGATGGTGTGGGGAGGTCTCATTATTGGAGAACACGTAAATGATGTTATCTCTAAGAGAAAAAGAAGCTAACTCTTCTGTGATCACCAAGGTGGGCAGCACAGTGGGTCTAGCCCAACTGTGATGAGGCGATGGTGGCCATCGGGTTGAGAATTAAAAAAGTGATGGCCCTTGGAAAGACCTTGGTGCCTTGGGTGTCCATAGCACATCCAGAGACATTAATAACCATGACTTTAGGAGACCACCGTGCTGCTTGAGGAGGCTGGTGGCTTGGAGATGATGAACTAAATGAGAATCCCTTAACCCACCCCAGTGTTGTGATACCCTGAGGGGGGAGCCTCCATCTAAATCAATGATAGGTGTGATTCTAAAGGAGAAAGGGAAGAAATGCCATGAAAAGAGAACATCTGCTCCACCCAGGGCATAAGGAGTTACCTTCCCTGGAAGACTATACGTGCAGAAGCCCGTAGCCAGGACTAGTGTGCTTTGTCCAGAGGCTCTGAGAGTTGTGATGGGCGGTAGTGAGGGCCTCCCCGTGAAACTCAGAACCTGGGACCCAGGCCTGGCCTGGAGAGATCACCTGCTGGGCCAGCTACAGACTGTATCCTGCTGTGGCCCCAATGGATGCGAAGGGCTTCTGAGTGGTGATATTGGTGGGCTACAGCAGAATGGACAAGTGGGGTATAGCTGTCTCCAAAGACACAATGTCCCAGTACATGGAGGGCCTGCCACAAAGTGGCTGGCACTCTAGTGGTGAGGATTTGGTTTTTAACTGCAAGGGAACTTTGTCAGCCCACTGAGGACCAACTGATGCCCAGAATCTTTACAACAGTGCTGGAGGAGTCATGAGTGTGTCCTGCAGAAACCTGGGCACTGTCCAGGAAGAGGGAGAGCGGGTGCAGCAGCCCTATCGCAGATGTGTGGCCTGGCCCAGGGGGTGGTTTTACATGCAGCACCCAGAGCGATTTGCGGAGCTCAGGGAGAACAGAGACCCTCCAGCTGGCTCAGAGTCACTGATGGCTGCTGTCGCTGGAGGGGTGGCCTTCTCTGCTCCAACCCAGTCTTGTGCTCTCCTTCCTTCCCTTTCTTGGCTGCAGGACTGGGAACCATCTGTTGGGATGCTGCTCGGTCTGCCTCGTGGCCATGCTCCCATCCTTGCCTCCTCCATAGACTGTGGTCAGGACTCGGCAGCCCAGAGCCCCAGCAGGCTCTCAGTCTGTGCTGAGGTCACACCCAGGCATTGTCTCCATCCTTCCCCAGGTGATTCCAGAATTCTTCTTCTTCTTCTTTTCTTCGTGGTGGTTGTTGTTGAGAGGGAATACCACTCTGTCGCTCAGGCTGGAGTGCAATGGCGAGATCTCGGTTCACTACAACTTCTGCCTCCCAGGTTCAAGCGATTCTCTTGTCTCAGCCTCCCGAGTAGCTGGGATTACAGGCACACACCACCATGTTTGGCTAAATTTTGTATTTTTAGTAGAGATGGGGTTTCACTATGTTGACCAGGCTGGTCTCAAACTCCTGACCTCAAGTGATCTGCCCACTTCAGCCTCCCAAAGTGCTGAGATTACAGGCATGAGCCACCACGCCCAGCCTGGAGCCATTTCTTTGTTGGACACAGACCCACTCTGTCCTCCCTTACTTTTCCAGTGACTCACCGATCCCCTGTCAACTGTTCTTAGTTTAAATTCTTCCTTGGGGAGCAGGGGCAGTATGGGACCCAGGTGTGGTGCCAACCTCCACCCTCGGTGACAGATTCAGAGTCGGCCATGGGACTTGGGCGTTGGCTGGAACAATGGGAAGGAAGTAGGGATTTCCTCCAGGAGATCAGCTACGAAGATCACAGACAGATGACCATGATTCACATGGCTGTTGTCTGTGGAGAGAGCCCAAAGTAAGACCAAGAGAAATAAATGGGAAGACAACAATGTGACTCATGTTTTGAGTCCTTAAATCAAGCATTTCCTGAAGCCAGAATTCCCCCTCAATTCCAAGATATAAGAGTCAAAATGTTAACTCAGCTTGTCATGGTTTGACGTTTGAATTCAAGACCCCACTAAGATGTCTGAAAAACATCAAAAATACCAAACTCAGGGAACCTGAGAGGCAAACACGGTACAGTGACAGGAGATGAGAGCAGATGACAGGTGTCCCGGGGGCAGCTTGGGCATCTGGCTCCCTGGCGATTCCCATGCACAGCCCCGGGGGAGAAGAGCCTTGTTGATGTTGATCAGCAGGGAAGGAGGGACGGCTACGAGAGAGGCTGGAAGGACAGCGGGTGAGTCAGGGATGGGGACCTTGATAGTTGATGTTCAGAGCTGGAGGAATTCCAGGTGGCAGCAGAAGTCAGTGTGTGGCCATGGGTGGAGGGCTGGGGCAAAGAGAAAGGAGGATCACTCTCACTGTCATCCAGGAGGACAAAGCACTGAGAGGTTGGGAGGGTGATCTGCCAGGAAATATTAGAATGAACTCTTTCCCTTAGTTTTTGTTTTTATGAGTTATTTGGCTTTTCGTGGCAAAGGAAGAAATACAGAACTTCAGAAAAGAAAACGAATACTTTTCTCATCTCTAACCTTCTGGTTTTGTTTGTAAGCAGAGTTCAGTACAAACAGAGATACAGAAAAAACAACTCTATACCTTTCTTGTAAAAGAAAAATTTCAGCAAGACTTTCAAGAAATGTCAAGAAAACGTTTATTGAAGACTGTTGCAATAGGAGTCAAAACGCTGTAATAGGAAGAGCCCTTGGACTCAACTTACCTCAAACCAAAGGCAGGAGAATTTAAGCCTTGTGGGGAGCTAGCAGGATGGTTCTGGAGGTCGTTAGGAGGGAAGTTGACTAGTGTGATTGGGCCATCAGTGTTTACTAATTTGTGCTTGTTGGAGTAAGGCTCCTATCCTCCCACAGAGACAGGGCTGCTGCCCTCTTGGGTAATTACATTTATAGGGATGAGGCATCTGACTTATTCGTTACTCATTGTTCCAGCACACGAGTGGTTCAAGGTAGAAAATGTCTTGTATATCATCAGTGAACGTAGAGTGTTTGTGCATCCCAGTGAACAGTTCTGGGTGTTACTTGAGGCCGAGCAAGTGGCCCTGGTTGTTGGGAGACCCTCACACCTTTCCCTGCTTTCTCTGTCCCTAGAGTTTGCAGCAGTCATTGCCCACCCTAGACTACAGTAGCAGAAGTCTCATACGGTGCTCCCAGTGTGCCTTTATCCAACAGAGGAACAGGGAGGCTCCATCCTCGTCTGACCCTTTCCCTTGGATTGATGGATGCTTCTCAGCACATCAGCCTGAATTCTACTCCATCCTTCTCTCTGGCAACATCCATTCCTCTAAATTCAGTGGAGGTGGACCTGACCCTGCATATTTCTTGCCCTGATATTATTCTCTCTATCGAACATTGTACTCTACCCCTTCTTTTAATCTACCCATGTTTTAAATACCTCTGTGTTTCACCATGAAGTCTTTTCTTGCCCTCAAAACCAAAATAGTCTATTTCTTTCTTCTAAACTCCTATTGCTTCATGAAGCCACATTTTCCCAAGGGTAATTTTCTATATTTCAGCCTTCAATATTGGTTTTTAAATGGCTTTTTTTCCCATGCTGTCACAGAAACTTGATATATGGAATGCATTGCTGCTGTAGTTTTTATTTTTTCCTATGCAGTTTATTAATAACCATCTAATTTTATATCATGTGATATTGAATATAATTAATTTTATCATAATTAATTTCTTGATCTCTTACTATGTGCTAGGCAGTCATCTGAACACTGTGGTCCAGTAATGAGCAAAACATGCAACTTCCCTTCTAGTGTAGGGAGGGAAATGTTACAGAGAGTAAGTGAAGTGTACAGAATATGAGACCGTTACAATTCTACAGTTAAAAATAAAGAGAACAAGTAGGATGGAGATTGCTCAGGAAAGTTACTGCAATTTAAAATTGAGAAATCAGGAAAGATGTCAGTGACAAAGTGAAATTTTAGCAGAGACCCCAGGTCTGGTAAATGAGTCAGGTGTACTTCTCGGTGAAATGTAGATGCCCTCTGGATAGAATCAGCGTGGCCCAGCCCACAATTTGGAACAATATGGAACATTAGTTCAGGGACCTCAGGACTTGAAGCAGTGGCAGTTACTAGAAACTAAGGGAGGCTCCTGGCCTTCACAATCTGAAGTTCTGTGTGTTTCCTTCACCATCTAAACAAGGGGAAGGGTGGGAAGGGTGGGATCGTTTGTCTGTCAGAATGCCTGTGTCCTCCCTGGGATCTGTGCTGGGCTCATTCAAGGTTAGGAGTTCCAGACCAGCCTGGCCAACATGGTGAAACCCCATCTCTACTAAAAAAAAGATACAAAAAACTAGTCGGGCGAGGTGGCGGGTGCCTGTAGTCCCAGCTACTTGGGAGGCTGAGGCACGAGTATGACATGAACCCGGGAGGCGGAGCTTGCAGTGAGCTGAGATCGGGCCACTGCACTCCAGCCTGGGTGATAGAGTGAGACTCCGCCTCCAAAAAAAAAAAATACAAAAATTAGCTGGGCACAGTGGCACTTGCCTCTAATCCTAGCTACTCGGGAGGGTGAGACAGAAGAATCACTTGAACCTGGGAGGTGGAGGTTGCGGTGAGCCAGGATCCTGCCACTGCACTCCAGCCTGGGCGACAGAGGAAGACTCCATCTCAAACAAAACAAAACAAAGCAAAACACCCAAAAAACAAAAAGCAGAACACATCAAAAAGAAAGGGCAGAGACCAAACAACTAGTCAATTTTGGCTGTGAGTAAAGCAGTTAAATAGAGGAACATCACGGTGACTTTTAGGCAACCAGGTGAGACCTGGAACATCCTTCCCTTTCACCCTACACGCCAACCTGGCCTAAGTTCACAGACTTTGTAGAGTGACTTTATCTTCCCAAAAGATGTACTTGTATTCAGCATCTGAGGTCTCTCCACTGCCCGTTCTGTTTCCTGCTGCCAGAAAGCCTCGCCTTTTGGGTGGTGCATGAGAAGGCTCGCCCTCCTCTACCGTGCTCTCTTGCTGGCCCTCCAGTTCCAGGACCAGGTGTGACAGCAAGAGTGGAAGAGAGTCCTGCTCAGAAGGGTTGCTGAGACAGAGAACCAGCCCCGACCACCTATCTCCCAGTAAAGTGGAGAGCTCTCACTAAGGACCATCAGATGAGGAAAGGCAGCAGCAGCCTGCACTAGCTTGGTAGGTTCTTTAGTATTGGAAGGACTCTTGTGCACAGAGAAAAATCTCATCACTATTTACACTAAGTTTAAACCAGTTCTTGAGTATTAAATATTGATACAAAGGTGATCATTTAAATTCCCTTCATCTACATTGATGTCATACATTTAGTATGCCTGGTTGTTTTTAGACACATCTAACATCTTAAAGAATAGATAAACATATTCCTGAATGATGATCCCAAGCTTATTCATTCATTATACCAAAAGTGATATAGAAGGGCCCATATTATGGATTTGATATCTTTTCTTGTTTGTTTTGATTTTACTCCTTCCTATGATTTTCTTGATCTTCCGAGACCCCAGATTACTAAACGAGGTTGCAAGTCTAGGGTCAAACAGCTGATCCTTGATCAGGAAACAGTGCTTTGTATGTGTCTGAGATGAAGTAAACTCAGGCTACTTGTTATTTATTATCAGGCTGAGACTTTTTGTTGTTGTTGTAATAAAAATGTTTGTTTGGTTATTTTTTGTCATATCATGGCACTGTTCAATCCCTTTTATATAAATTTTAATTCTAGAAACTTGCCTTTCTCACCAATACGTTGTTCTTAAGTTTTTGCAAGCTGTAAGTGTATGGTCAATTGTCTTATCATTATGATATATTGACTTGGTTCATTGGCATAATTAAAAACATATTAACATATGTTTTCTCATTAGCATTTTATTAAAATGAGTATAGTTTTATTATAATTAATATAATTCATATGCTTGAAGGGATGGAGAGTTGAGACCAACTCCTTCATTAAACATTGGTCTAATTAAGCTTTTGCGGACCAGTAAAGGACCATTTGTCTCACCGGTTATTGGGCCTCGTCCTCTATGGTCACCAGCTTCTGAGCTCTTCTTCTATCTGGTAATTAATTGAATCACTGATGCTCGTCAGTCTTTCCTGTTTTTGGCGCAGTTTTAACTTTTTCCTTGTTAAACTTTACTTTATTCTATCTTGTTGATACAGTTATATATCACTTACCAAAATAGAGTGAAATAAAGCTTAATGTATAGCATATGTATTTAACACATCTGCTTAAAATTTCAAATATTATTTACAGCAATGCTTT